AAAAATTATTCCGAAGCACAAATGCATTGAATTGAAACAAATTTAGATTAGAAAGATTTTTTCTCGTTTTCTATAATTGAATATTTCTGAAAATCATCCAGAAATATCAAGCTAAAAGTTGCTAAAAAATTTTTTGGGAACGTCTGCTAAACAGTGAATAGCAAGCTAGTTACATCCAAATGGTACCTGCAAAATGGGGCAGAAATGACAAATGAGGCCGACCTCTGTAGAAAATCAAATTTCCATTTTACGAAATTGTCCCTGGCAATCTGATAAGTGGGATCAGTTTGTATATAACAACGGGCAGAATACAATTTTATGGGCTCTTTGGTGTACAGCTATGATAATTGGTTTCGAATAGAATGCGACAATCAAATACGCTCAGACTCGAAACGAAACGAAAAATAAGTCTCACAAAAATGATCAAGTTTTGACGGTAAGTTTGAAAAAAAACATTTCAAGTTTTACGTTTTTTTTTTCAAAAAAAAAATTTCAGTCTAGGTCAAACATTGCATTCAAACGGATTTCCCGATATGACCGATTTTGGTTAAATCAATTTATACAGACAGATTTATCACCAAAATAGGAAACGTTTATCTCGAATACGATTACGGTAACTGAATTGTTTGAAGCAGTGTTGTAGACTGTGAGTGAAATAGTCGTCAGCCGATAATTATTTGAGGAATTTTATTGATTTATTGTTTTTTTCCTTATTCGGCAGCAAAAAAAATGCAAAGAAAAGCAAAACAAAATTTCATTTTTTTTTCAAATAGCAGAATAGGCCAATTATTTTCTTCCCTGATGATTTTCCCTTGAATTGTTGGTGATGTTTGAAAAAATATCGAAATAAGAACTAGAATGCAAATTAATTATGTATAGTTAATCTATAGCAAAAGAAACATGCTCGTTGATCTACTCTGGCAATTCAAAATCAATCATATGCGACAAAATTCGGCTGAGGAATCATACGGACCTGATTGGTCATTCCACATATAGAATTGAAAAATGGAATGGTTTTTTCTGGAATCCGATTCGAAGATCCTCTCATCTGATTTATTATTTTTCGTATTCGATTGTAAAATTTGTTCAATTCGGATCTAATCGGTTTTGAGTTGCCAGAATGAAAGCAGTCGCTCGACTATTTAGGGCCAATGAAGAGAAATAAAACAATTCGCGTCGAGATCGATCCCCTAAATAAATGACATGTGTGGGGTTTCGATGAATCGCAACGCTAATTATTTTCGCTTCCTTTTTTTCCCCTTTTTTGTTCTCTGCATTGCCCGCCCTATTTGATAATATTTCAAATTTGAATGAATGTATTGTCGAAATTATAGAATTCGAAAAAAAAACTATAGAAATAGGTTACAAGCGTGGGGATATTTGCTCCACGCGGCTAAGTGTAAAATTGCTCATGTGGAGCAGAGCTGCACGGAATTCCGTCTTCCTTGACATTTCACTGTTCTGTGTTCTGTGTTCCGTGTACCGCAAAAAAGTGAAATTCCGTATTACCATCGCAAAATAAAAACGAGCGCCTTGCATAATTGTGGACCATTGGGTCCCTTTCGAGGAGGCAATTCAAATTCGAGTTTGTGGGAATGGGAATTTTGGGAATTTGGGGACCATACTCTGGATAACCTGCGAAGCTAACTTACCGTAAATCGGCACAGCGCGCTCGTTTTTTTTTTCGAATGTAATATAAAACGAAACGAAAAATTGTCGGAACAAAAATGTTTTAATTTATTTTTGTGCGTTACGGTAGCGGAGTCTGCAGTGAACATTACGCAAAAATGAACAGATTATTTTCGAAATTCGATTTTTGTTTTCAATTTTCTATGGTTTTAAGATAATTTTTGTGACACACTGTTCCGTTTTCCGTCAAAAAATATTTTTTCCGCTTTCTGCCTTCCGTTTAAAAAGAATTTAAGTTCCGTGCAGCTCTGACGCGGATACACAGACGCGATTCTTTGCCACGTGGTCATCCCTGATCTTTTGCCAATTGGTCGTAGTCGTGCAAATAATAACTTTCAAAAAATTAAATTCCGAAACGTGGGTAATCATCGACAATAACTATATTTTCTATTTGATGAAACCGGTATATTTCGAAATGCTCAGTAAGAAGGTATTCAATTGTGATGAAATTAGAACCGAAAAATTGCGCCCCCCCCCCTTCCTCCTCACAGACTCACAATATTTGCCAAATTTCTTAATAATTGTTTCAAGTGCATAAATTCGTTTGTTCAAACAACTCGACGAGGTTATCACAAAAAAAAACCGGTACACCCGAAAAAATGTTCGCGTAAATATATTGTCGTCGAATGGAATTTCACACCGGCGAACACGCTTTGTTATTTTGCTCTCGTTCTCAGGCAAATGAAAAAAAATATTTTGAGACAATTCTAAAATCTTATGAGGTTCGTTGAGAGGCTAACGTGTCTCTATAATATTTTAGATTTGTCTCAATAAACTTTAGGAAATCTCATAAGATTTTAGAATTTATCAATAAGTTTCAATGAATATTGTGAGACTTTAAAGTGTATCAATAAGTTTTAGATTTGTCTCAATAAACTTTAAAGTTTATCAATAAGTTTTAGATTTGTCTCAATAAACTTTAAAGTTTATCAATAAGTTTTAGATTTGTCTCAATAAACTTTAAAGTTTATCAATAAGTTTTAGATTTGTCTCAATAAACTTTAGAATATATCAATAAATTTTAGATTGTTCTCAATAAACTCTATCCAATATTATGTAATATCATACGTTATCGAGCAATTTTCACACAAATAGAATGTAATAACATCCATAATAATTGAATATGTATGAACATTTCATTTATTACAATATTAATGCGAAATGAATATATTAATAATAAAAATCAGAAAAAAAATAAATGAATCAATTTATTCTTTTCGCATTTTCTCCTTTTTCTGCGAATGACGCACAACGTTGCTATAAGGAATTCGTTGCATATACTGAAAGAAAATGTTGAACTTACAAATTTTGATGATTGAATTTGTCGTTTTTCGATTAATTTCATGAGTTCTTTGCGATAAAATGACTTCTTAATTAAATCCGGATTCGCGTTGAAACGCATTTTCAATGAAGTCACAATCTCGTGATATAGTTTATAGCTGAAAATTGCCAGTTTTAAAAAATAACTGAATGAGTCTAACTTTCTCAAAATACTATATCCAATCCCGTTTGTTTGTTCCGAGCACATGTTTCTCTTGATAACGTGATAAATGTGCTCATGCGCTTGCGTGCTTATTGCCGACAGCTGACCACACCGCCTGACATTACTGTACAAATGGTATATAAGTTGCTGAAACAATAAATACAGTAATCATTAGTATTATTTCTTATATCAACGACAATAGCATGATGCTACAACGTTCAATAACTCTTAAAATTGCAAAAAAAACGACTTACGTGCACTTTTGAACCAGAAAACAATCGAGGCGCCCCATCTAAAATTAGAATTTCTAATAATTTGCAAATACCTGCGATCTGAAATAAAAATTTTCTATTATGTACATAGCTAACGATCCCATATTACTTTGTTTGGTAATGTTGTATTTGTAACTAAGCGAGTCGGTGACACCATCCATCGGTAGCAGGCATGTATAAGCAACACAACAGCTGAACCTAACGGAGGGATGGTTCCGATCATGGCGTTAGAAACAATTTTCACTTCAAAAATCTTCAAAGGATGATAATTGCAAGTGGTAAATTAACTTACACTAGCTTTTTCGGACCTATTAATGTCATTGAATTTTCCTGATAGCGACTTTACCGAAGATGGCAGTCTCGCTTTCACATCAATAGCTTTGCATCGAAAAATATTTATTTCGTTTTTAACGAAGACTTCTAAAAAGCAATCTTCAATTTTTAAATGCTGAAAAAGGAGAGACATAATTGAAGTACCTTTTATTATACGTGTTCCCTCGTGAAAAAGGTGGAAAATATCCATGGCCGTGATCCACATGGGCACCTGCTCATTGAATTTGCTGTATTTACCTCGTTCCTTAAATCTATCGGCCAATGTTTCTGGAATATTTGTTCCACACTTTTCCCGATCTTCTAAAATATCGAAATCATTAGAAACTGAAGTATAATTGTAATTAAGTAATAATTGTGCGTGTTTTTAAAATTCATGAACCTGTTCATGCAATGACATGTTTAGACACAACTGTTTCAAATTCAGCATGTAAAACAATGCAGATTTAAGGTAGTGTTAAACATTTATTATAAAAACTTGCATTTCATGAATACGTCCATCACTGAAGTGAAGAAACTATTACAAAAAGCTAAAAAAACGGAAGGAACATCAAAAACATAAATTATTTATTGGAATTTAGGAGATCTTAAAAAGAGACGCCGCAAATTGCGTCAGTGGAAGTCATAAGGGCCCTATTCAAATTTTAAAGTCTCACAATATATTGAGATACTTTACACTTTCTCAAAAGATTTAACTTTCTCAAAAGATTTAATTTACAAATTCCAAATTTTTAAAATTTATTGATTCTCAATAAGTTTTAGAAAGTATCAATAGACTTTAGAATTTCTCAAAATATTTTAGAGTTTATCACTGAATATTTGATTCTCAAAATATTTTATTTGATTTGCCTGAGTTGTGTTTCGTCGTAATCACGCATTGTCTTCGGCACAATCAAGAAGTACTCGACGAGGAGTTGAAGAAGCACGGCAAATTGTTGAGGCGAGGCGCCGACGTGTTGGAACACGTCGGCGTCTCGCATGCATCGACAATAATCCGCGCGACGTCGAGTTTCACGTACGTCTTGCGAGGCGCGGCGGCTCGCGGCCTTCTCGTGTTTGTGCACACCGAGGAATCGAGCGATTCGTGTAGGCGCCAGACATCTACTGTAGTAGCGCCACGCCCTCGCGGATTTTTTTGTTCTGTTCGTCGCTGCCGCCCACCCCGGACCGCCCAGTCGTCGCCGAGCATTTTTGACTCATTTCACCGCTTTCGAATACACCTCGGAATGTCAGCATCGCGATGGGAAGGATTACGTATGATTTTTTTGTTTAACATAATATTCGCTTTTTCTATTCTCTTATTTTCGATACAATTTTACAACACATATTAATATAGTTTAGAAATTTTACTAGGGTCCCATCACTAGACGCCATTTTCATTGCTCAAATTTTCAGAGACCCAGGCACCTATTACTGGTGGCCGCCAATTTGACGCCTCATCGCAACCACAGCGCTTTCTCGAGGCCAACAGCTTCGTTCGAAGCGGACTTGTTGAATGGAGAGTTAACAGTAAGCTTCATCTCGTCTTCATTTATTTTCATTCGATTTTCAGCCATTGATCCTTCATTTTATGACTGTTTGTACAGTGTTGCAAACACTGGAAATACAGTGATTGAACGCTGCTACAAAGATATTGGGTGCTGCGCGGATGGATGTTGCAAAAACTCGTATTGGTAAGTCATTTGTGAAAACTTGAAATACGTACATCACAATATTGTACTTCGGACATTTTCCTTTCTTTTTTCCAGGCGTAATCGTTATGGCTGGGCCGTCGCGCTCATCGTGATTTTCTGCTGTTTGGTGATCATCGCGTTCGTCATTTGGCTCGTAGTGTGGCTCTTCAATCGTGCCAAAGATAAACAGCAAAAACGCGAGCTCTACTATGAGACATATGAGGAGAATTACTCAGGTGTAAGTGATTCGTTGACTCTTTTTTTGCATAATATACATCATCAACTTTGTTCTTCGCGTCAATATTGACTTGATATTTATGCGCGATGAGCAAACAGACTCACTTCCTTTTTCCTTGGTTTTTTTTTTCGAAATGCTGCTCTTGTGCCGAGCAGGCGGTTTTGAGAGATAGATATGAGGCAATTCAGCAATCTACTTATCGATAAATATGACAACAAAAAAAACGCGATGAATCATTTAGATTTAGCTGTTCTGCACAGTAATTTTAAATTTCCGCCTATTCAATCGAATGCGACAACATTTTGTCTCCAAAATTGACCGGTGTCAACAAGAATCGTATTTGATTGTGAAACGGGCAATACGAATTTGATTCGAAATTCGTCGTGCTCGAAACGAATTACCAGAGTACCATTTTTTTGCAAACTAAGCTGTAGTAAGGAAAATCGAACAGGAAAATGATTTTTTTCCTAATTATCAGTCGTTTATCATGATACTGTAGTTCGTCAAATTATTTGTCTGCAAACACTCGTACGCAAGTTTACATACATTTCTACTTCGATCAATTTATTAATTTTTGTGTTTTTATAACGATTGAATTTTCATTGTTAGAAGCCATATTTTTTAGGTTATTAAATAGTAATCGATTATTGTCGAAAAAAAAACTGAATTTACGCCTGTGTATTTTCAAGTATATTATAATGCGGCAATCAAAATACAATTTTTCAATCAAATATTCTTTTTTTCGCTTGTGCTCTGGAATCATTCTATAATTCTGGATTTCAGATATTTTATTTTTTGGTCCAATTCGAATTCCTTGAACTTTGCAGAAAATGTGTGACAGAATTGTGTAAATAAGACAACAATATTTGATAGTTGAGAGTTGTCTAAATATAAATACAAACATGTGCGAAACGTGAGAGAATCTGAACCAACGCAATTATTCATTTTCTCCACTCTGAAATATTTGCGCATCTCTCGGAACCAGTTAGTGTCGAACGCACTCGCAACAGCTCGTTATAACTTGCCTAGTATTTGCGCAACAAATCAAGTTTTCATGTCTATTTCTTGCAGCTGCCGACTCCTCAGCCGACTCCGACGCAGTACCCCGGCCAACCCGAGCAATTCTCGTATGATCCGGCGCGAGACCGCGACAATTATAGATACTAGTCGATGGTTCTGAATTCGCCACCACCGCACGCCCGTCGCTTACCATTCGTTCACCTATGACAGAATATTTTATTTAGATCATGCGCGTCTCCCTTTTAATTGCTTTTGAACTCCAACCAAACCAAAAAAAAAGAATATATGTAAATATTTGCTCAATTATTCTATATAATTCTATTTTCATAAATGCTTCCTCCCCTCTGATTTTTTAGCTGAATTGAACAAACAACGAGATGACCCTTCACCACGACACATCGTGTTCGATTACTACTGTGCACACGGAATTGTTCGAATGACGTGACAAAATTGTTTGCAATTCAATGGATTTTTGTTGAAATTGCGGGAATCATCGGAGAATTGAACGAAATCAACAGAAGAAATTGAATTATTTTAATTTCATGAATCCTAGATTTGTAGGTAAACAATTAGAAAACTAGAAGCTGAATTGAATTTCTAACGTTATTGAAATTAAAAATAAGGAAAAAATCAGTAAAACGCTCAAAAGGCGGTTTAAAAACAACAAAAATCTTTAAAAACTCTAAAAAACCCTAGCTTGCGAAAAAAAAAATTTTTTTTTTGAGTTTTCTTCCCAAAATCTTCATAGAACCATAAAACAAAAAAATTGGATTTTGAAAATTAAAATATACTGCGATCACAAAATATTGTGATCATAATGACATTTAAGCATGGATTTTATGAATTTTTGAGCTGTTTAAAAAAAAAAGCTATCTACAGGGTGGCTGAAAATTACCCGGACTAAAATTTCGAGCCTTCGTGAGGCGCACTGGTGCTTTTTCAGCGCAATGTTTTTAAATTTTTTTAATTAGCAATGTTTTTTCCTACTATCTCTCAAATTTTCATGATAATTGGTTCGGTTTTAGCAAAATGGCAAAGCAAAATGCAAACCGACCCGCAATTATCGCATTACATAAGTCCGGAATAGGCACGTATGCAATTTGGAAGCACCTGAGAATTCCGAAAAGCACCGTCTACGATGCAATTTCTCGTTTCAAGGATCTTGGCACAATCCAGGACCGTGCAGGCAGAGGAAAAAAAACTGCGATGACGACTTCTTCGAACGTTAAGATCGTCCGAGACAGAATCAGACGAAATGCTCATCAGAGCATCAAAAAGATGGCTTCCGCCCTGAATATGTCACGAGCTTCAATGACAACCATTGTCAAAAAGAAGCTTAATTTGACTCCTTATTGTGTCAGAAAAGTGGTCATCCTTTCTCAATCCAACAAGCTCAAACGGCACCAAAAGGCAAAACTCCTTTTGGCGCGCGCGCGGGTTGGGGAACATCTGTCGACGGTCTTTTCGGAAGAGAAGCTGTTTACCGTGAAGGCCGAATTCAATTCGCAAAAGCATCGAGTGCTTGCCCGAACGTCCGAGGAAGCTTCAGAACTCGGCCGGACAATTCATCGTTCGTCGCACCCCGTCAGCGTCATGGTCTTCGGTGCCATCTGCTCCAATGGCAAATGTGCTCTGATTTTCGTGGAAAAGGGAGTCAAAATCGACAAGTACTACTATATCAATGAGATCCTGAAGAAGAACTTGCTTCGTTGGGCCCAAAAACACTTTGGTAGAGAACGATGGGTGTTCCAGAAGGACGGGACGCCAGCTCATACTGCAAAGTTTACGCAGGAATGGTGCGCCAACAATTTCCCCTCCTTCATCAAGTCAACAGAATGGACCGCCTCGTCTCCTGACCTTAATCTGTTGGACTATTCCGAATGGGGGTCTTACAGAGTAAGGTCCGTGCTAGGCCCCACCCGAATTTGGACTCTCTAAAGAAAGCGCTGGTCGAGGAATGGGACAAATTGTCGGTGGAATACCTGCGCGCCACGGTCGACGCATATCCGAAGCGTCTTCGCGCCGTCATCAGAAACCGCGGAGATCGAATCGAACAACGATAATCTATTTATGTTTGTTATTGTAAAAATAAGCTAAATATGAAATTTGAGGGTGTTTGAACAATTATTCACTGAAATACATTGGTTTTCATATAGTCCGGGTAATTTTCAGCCACCCTGTATATTATCCAATTATAACAAAATTTGGTTAAATTTCCAAAATGAATAGGTAAAATTATTGAAAAGTGTACTAAAAAACCAGAAACACTGGGAGGAGTAATAGAAATAAATAATTAAATGCAATAAAATAATTGTAAAAAAAATCACATTTTCTTAATGCAAAAAATGCAATTGGTACTGTAATAAAAGATGAAGGAATCTGCGAGACCCACGAGACAATTTGATGCTTATCGTTTTTGATAATTCTGCTAAAATCAAAAGGCAAAAAAAGAAAGTGGCGAGAATCTTGAGGAATACGATATCTGTAAAATAAAAATTTAATTTAATAAGAGATATATTTCACAAATTTAATTAACATTGTATGTAGATTTAAAAAAAGTAAATAAATGTTTCATGTATATTCGGCGTCTGGCGGCTGCTATACGCACGTAGATTTACGAGAATGCGTCTTTCGAAATGGTCTCGTACGGACTAACAGGTTATTTCAAATTTTATAGACATCCTCGATAATTTTTCAATCGAATATCGTTGAAAATTCAAGGAAATGCGAAACTCATCAAGAAAAATGAAGCAGTTCACGTGAAAACAGCAAAATAAGCATTCACGCGTGGTGAGACCTTTTCAAGGCGCATGCGCGTAAATCTACCCGCGTACAGCAGTCGCCGGACGCCGACTATATATTTCACAAATTAAATTAAATAGCCAACAAATCGTCATATGGGTCTCGCAGATTTCTTCATCATTTAATTACAGTACCTATTGCATTTTTTTGCGCATTGCTGCCTCAGAAAAATGTGATTTTTTAAATAAAATTATTACTGCACAAATAGGCCCATAAAATGAACATAAAATTTGATAAAAATGTGAGTTGATTAGAATGATGAATATCGCTTGTGGGCCAATCTCTCGTCAATAATCCGCTTCAACTCGTTCATTCCGGGCCCTTTTTTGTTCTCGAATCGATCTCGCATTTGTTGCCAATCATTCACGGCTTTCCACTCAATTTCATTCAATTCGTTTATCATTTTCACATGTGTTTCGACAATTTTCTCCATCATATTGTGCAAGTTCGATTGACAATTTTGCAATTCTTAAAAATAACCTTAAAGAACAATAATTAAAATATTATAATTACCTTTGTGTTTCTTATTCTTCCGAATTTTTCGCGACTCAACTGATTCGCTCTTTTGCTCTTCATCCTTTTCAGAAATCACACTCAATTTGCGAAAACTTTCCGATATCCCATCGGCTTCTGGCGATGCTTCTTTTGGCGTCGGAAAATCGTAATCATAATCAGCCAGCGAAACCGGATTTGAACCTGAATTTCCGAAAATTCCCACAAAAAAATTATTGACAATTCTCACTTTTCGCCGATTTCTTGATGGTTGACGCCGTGCTTGAGGATTTGTCTTCCGATGAGCTTGACGAGCTTGATGAGGAATCATCCTCTGATTCTAAAGTACTCTCGGATTCGGATGTTGAATCTGAAGATGCCGACGACGATTCGCTTTCAGATTCTGTCTCGGATTCAAATTCCGGCTCAGGCTCCCTCGATTTTTTCCCAGTCTTCTGCTCAGCTTCTTCCTTTTTTGGAGGCGGCTGAGGTGGTTGCTCAAATACCTGAAAATATCAAAGAATTCCAATAAATTCTCCATGAATTACTTCGTCGAATACAATTGATTCGGCATCAGAGCTTTCCGATTCGATTGCTTTCTTAAACGGACTTCGTTTCATCATAGTTGGCGATTTTCGCTCTTCAGGTTCGTCAACAGGTCGCGATGGCGCAGTTTCTTTTTTCGAAATTTTCTGCAATCGATTTTTTGGCCACGAAAATTGAATTGAATTTTTTCTCGAAATTCCGCCGCTACCTAGGTAACCGACGCAGTTCACTCAAACTAAAAAAAAAGTTTAAAAATCGTACTTTTTGCGTCTTTTTTAAAAGGTCCTCCGCCTTTATTTTCACTGTCTTGTTTGTTCGCGATTCTGGCACCGATATCAACGATTGATCGATGGAATTTCGAAGTTGTCTTATTTGCTCCAAACTTGCTGCTCCGTTATTCGTTGCTGTAATTTCATAGAAGCTGAATTTTCATTTAATAATCTCTGGCTATGTCAATTTCTGAAAAAAATTGCGGCTAACAAAAAAAATTGTTCAAAAATTGTATATATCATGACATTTTTTTAAAGCACCAATCTGAATAAATTTTTCTAGTGGAAGAAAATAATAACAATAAGATAATTTTGAAAAGAATTTTATTTTTTAATTTTCAAAATTTCGATTTTGCGGGATTTTCTATTTTTTTTGGAAATTTCATTTTTTCATCAATTAAAAAAAATGTTTAAATGTAATTTAAACATTCTTGCTGGTTACGGTTTTATAAAAAAATACTAGTTTGAAGATTAGAACCCTAGGGAAGTAACACTTAATATAGATATAATATCCTTTGACACACATAAGTTGCTAATTATATTTTATATACTAATTAAGTAAAATGAGTAAGATTATTAATTGAATATGATCATTTATCAAATGAAACATTGAAAAGATCGATTTTGATATCCGCTTCTTCGTAGAAAACGTACACTTTTGAGCTCATATACCCCTAACGCCGGTTATTCCTCGCGGGTCCCGTGCGGAATTAAAAATAAATTATTGTTTCTTTATTGGTATAGTTCAATTTTCTTCAGAATGGGCTAGAATAATTTTCAGATATTGCGACGCGTCTGACTTCAGACTGTTTCTAGCAGTCATCGTTTTTTTTCAGAAACGAACTATACTTAGACTTCCACGTGGCAAAATTGGCGATTTTTCGCCTTCACTGTCACTGAATATGACGACTTTTTCACCACGACCTGAAAAAAGAAAAAGAAAAATAAATGTTGAAATTGTTTTGAAAATGAAAAACCCACCGGAAACTTCGTCGAAAATCGAAGATTTGAACGATTCGCTGAATATCGAACGAATTAATTTGAATGAATTGCGAATCACTCGCCTCAACGCATCATAATCGTCGGAATTGTGGCGCGATAGCGAGGTTTGTCGTCGAGCTTGCGAAATGATCTCGGAAATTGACGGTTTGCGTGGCCGATTCGCGAGATTCCTGAACAATTCGATTACCGAGAGAGCAATTCGATCGAGTGCACCGACTTGGCCGACGAGCCTTTCCTTAGCGCTGCCGAGTTTTTCTCGAGCGATTGAAGGTAATTCTGCAATACACCGTGAGACACTGGGCCGACAAAAAAAAACAACAACGAGGAACGCAATGACTGGTTCGAAGACTTACAAGTGCAGATGCCGAGAGATTCGACGAGCCGCGCATATCGAGGCGTTCCCAAAATTCGCCTCTTTTTTTTGGGGGGGACGAAGCAATAAATCGAATGAGCGGAAACGTGGGACGAAGAACGCGCAAGTTGCCATGGAAACCGGACGAATTCGAGCAAATCTCGCTATGGAATCCCCCTTTTTGAAAGTTGGCTCAAACCAAGGAAATTGGGAAGTTTTTCTGAATATTATAAAATTTCTTTTGAAATTTTATTTCTTTTGTTACCACTTTGGAGCTGCCCTATAACTCACTGCTAACACCGGTGACAAATGTCATATTCCTTGATCGTTGATTTGGTTTGTACATTATGAATATATCGATGCCAACGTTCAAGTATGGCCCGCGAACCGTGAATTCCATGGAATCGTTAAGCTAAAAATCGGCTCGTCTTATTATATTTGGTTTTCTCCAAAAAAAAATTTCTGCGAATTGCACTTTTCCAATCAATCGAGTCGCCCAAATATCCAGCTTGAAATCGAGGAGATCTTGCAAAAATTCGGGATTGTAGTCGTCGCGAAATATCGCGAGATCCATGTCGGTTGTATGAGGAATGAGCCCGCATTCTCGATACCAACCTTCGATTATTCATATTTATATTATATTAATATTATATTATAGAAAATTGATACCTAATAGACTGCCAGACGACAAAAATGGGATGATGTCGTATTCGAGAAGAGTGTCACGAACTTTCGCCAAATTCCGAATCCATCGTTTACTCTCATCGATGCTTTTCCCCTAAAATCCACTATTCGAATTGAATTTTTCTTGATTTTTCCAACTTTTTCTTTTCGATTCATTGTGATATTTCGACATTTTAAAAGTTTCGAACGTCGAAGAAATTCTAAAAATTGTGGAATATTGTTGGGCACGTTCAAATTTCCATATTTATTGAATTTCACTCTTCTGAAATTTTTTTTAAATGACTCTGATATGCTGAAAAGACCTTACTTTGGTATAATTTTCGTCTCATTGCCGACATGAAATTCGAGATAATCTTTTTCATAATCTTCAATATAATATTGAATTGCAAATTTTGTTGAATTCAAGTGCTCGGCTACAAATTTTTTGAGTTTTGAGTCGACTGCAATCTAAAAAAAATTGTGAATGAAATTCCTTATAAGGGGAATGCAGAGAAAAAAAAGAAAACTCAGGTAAATTAAAATTAAACGAATTCGAATTTTATTTTTCAATAAAAATCGAAAACTGTTTCGAATTATGCCAAAATTTCAATCCAATATGATTTCAAAATTGAAAATAAGTAATAAATCAATAGATTTCGATAATTTTTGAATCGAATCCAAAATGTTTCGTTTTTTATCGAATTTCAATTCTTTTTCAATCGAATCACGTTAATTTACAATTTTTTTTAATTTGTATATTTTATTTTTCGAATCCGATTTGATTTTCATTTACCTGAGGCGGGGAAAATAAAAATTAAAAAAAAAAAAAACAATTTTTTTTTCTCTGAATTCTCCCTTTATGGAAATATATTAATACACTAAATATATTTTTAATCCATTTATTTTGTTTGAATTCTCTATGCACAAAAATTAGACATCGTAATTATTTTCAAAGGCGCATGCGGAAAACTGTGGCGTGAAAATCGAAAATAATTTTTTTTCTTGATTTTTTGAAGAAGTCGAATATGGATGCCAAAATCTTTGCGAATAGAAATGAGAAAAACAAATCATATAAAAAAATGTCTGATTATTTATTCATGCATTTTTTGTAATTACCATAGAAGGAATTCAAATGAAAATACTGATTTTAGAAAATTGTTCATTACATGAATATTTCATTAAATAGAAACCTACATTCACTGGCTGATTGCTTCTTCCTAAACAAATTTCATCGTTCAAATTTTTTAAAATTTTTTCATCAATTAAAATCGCCGAAATTCCAATGTCGAATTGAAGATTCTCAATAAGTCTCAAACAATTTGGATTAGTCTGAAATTTCGAAAATCGAATTGATTGGATTCGCACCCGAAATACCACAGCGGGTTTCAGAGGAAAATTGCGTTTCGGGAACAAATTCGAGACAACTAGCGTGAAAATCACAATGCACGTGGACACTTTCAGAATTCGCTCGTAGCTTATTTTTCTGAATCTCGGCCATCTCCTAGAAAATGGAATTGTGATCAGATGAGTCGAACCAACATACATATTCTATGAGAGACGTTGTCGATCGATTGTGTGATAAAATTTGTTATCTTGTTCAAATAAAACGAGCCCCCCTCCCCCCTCCCGGTCTTCCAATATGCCGAGTGCAAAACCCGCACGAATGTCGGCAGCAAATTGTGAACACATCAAGTTTCTAATTATCCATACCTGTGCACTCGATTCGCTCTCGCCGCTGGCGCCGGTTGATGCTTCCCAGCCTTGAGCATATTCTTCGGCGCCCATCCCATCGATGGATCGGTGCCTGCTTGTGAAGCCGGCTGAAACAATCCATTCGGATATCAATTTTTCCGCTGAAACCCACCACTTTATGCAAATGCACCGCCTTATGTGGTAAATTCATAAAACTTTGATATTCGAAGAAATGTTTGGCGATGAAATTCATTCCCTAAAATTTGGCGAAATGAATTCATTTTAAAATTCGTCGATGCTGAAAAATTGCTGGCAAACAAAAAAGAAACTTGATCGCGAAACCTCGGTACCGCCATAATCGGGCTCTGATGAGCGGCTTCGCGGGTAGGCACTTCGCGGGAACACAACCCGAGGGCTCGTCTTCTCGCGCCACCAAAATGGCGTTCGCGCCGCCATCACGGTGTCATCCATTTCTATAGAGCGCATCATCATCATCATCATTAAGAAAATGTATCTGCGGACAATTTTTGAGGACAGCAATGAAGGCTTCAAATGACGAATAAGGAAGCGGGGGAAGCGAAATGTTTCTATTTTTTGTGCTCGATTTGACACAACCCACGTCTGGCGTGGAAAGAGGGGACCATCAAGTGCAAAAGGCAAAACGAAGTGCGAAAATCCAATTAAAAAATGAAGCGTTTTTTCTTTCTTTCTTTCTTTCGCAATTTTTTTTTTGCTTCGACTTCTTATTGGTTGAAAAGCGAGTTATTCGTTACGGGGAAAAAAAAACGACGTCAATGGAAATCGAGAATGAAAATAATTGCGCTTATTCGAAATCTGATCGCTTATACGGCTTAATTGCCTTCGTTATGAGTAGGCGGAAATTCAAGTCGAAATATGTCCGCAGATGAGTATTCATATATTCAATGGATACTAAAAATGAGAGAACATTGGAAATCGCGTCGGTTTTCCGTGATCTTAAGGTGGCGATGTTAAGCAATGTCCGTGTGGAGTACACAGACCCAACTCGCGTTTTTTTGCCATTTTTATGGACATCGAAGACTTGAAAAAATATACATTGAAGACTAGGAAACAATCGTGCCAACGATAATGGTGGATATTGAAAATCATCTGCGGACAAATTCCGGGAAACCATCTCGATGAATTCGGCGTCATTTTGGACACCAATTTGTCGCCTATTCATCACCCCAACAATACATATTGTTATCGTTTCGTTGCTGCGGACGTTTGAACAGAAAAAGCCACGTGGCATCATGCATTTGACACGAAAATGCCGACATTCGTATTTTTTGTTATGCTGCATATCGAATTTGGCGAACAAATTTTGTGTATTATTGTCAAAAGCTGCACACAAAATGAGATTTGAGTGGGGGGGGGCTAGAATGTCAGAAAAGAAAGAAACGAAGGCCATAAATCCGTATGGGACCGATTTGGGAAGTGTTTTTTCTTCTTCTTCCTCTCATACTGAATAGGGCACTGATTGGCGAAAAATCATATAACCGACGAAACGAGCCACCGAAAAAAGCACACACCACGAAATGACGGCGTCCGCAGTTGACTTTTGTGGGTTGAATGTATAACGACTAATCCGGCAATCTTTTCGTTTTTTTTTACTGACGCGGGAGGGAAACGAACGAACGAACGGACCATCGAGAAAATAAATGCGAAACGATGAGCCCGTCATCGCTCATTTTTTTGTTGTGACAGGCCAAAGAAAAATTGAGGAATTGTTCGGGTCAAGACCCATCCTTTGATTACGGTAATCATTGTTCTTGTTAGAACTCGCGAAATTAATTCTCAATGGTCCTTTAATAGTGATACGATAGTTGAATTCAGAAATTTTGTGGGATGAAACGTTTAAAGGAGCACGAATTATTCTAGCAAGGTTCCTGAAACGAAAATGCGAGGTTGGCCCATTCTTATTTTTCGAAAAATCAGGCGTTACTGTAGGACCGGTACGCGTGTCAATTGTCTAAGAATTACACGAATTACATTAAAGGAGCATAGAGGGTCTTGAAGCGAAGCTCGGATTGGCAAGAAAACCCTAAACGAATGAGCGGCAAAACTACGTGAGAACGAAATTCGAAATTGAGGAGTCCGACTCGAGCCGCCCCATCCTCTGGGGAATTCGTCAAAATGTGTAGATCAGCTCACAAATTTGGACCACGGAAAACCAAGACCCTTCCCCCCCCCCAAACTCTCAATGATTGTTTACGAGCCGATTTGCGGATGGATAAAACGACCATCAGAATATATGATCAAAGAACGAATTGTGTTCAATTGCAAGCAGACAGTCAACATTTTGAATTCGTTTGAGTACATCCATCTGCGGACAATTTTTGGTCGTCTAATATGCAAACAAAAATCAATGAACGTCTCGTCTGCAATTATCCAGTGAACTGTCCGCAGCACACTTCTTCTATTATCCTAAGCGGTAGTAGGAATTGCGCAGAAAGAAAAAATTGAGGAGTCGACAATTAATTTTTCAATTTTCGAATGCGCTCGACGCATCATTCATGAATAATTCGAATTAATAACGTTTGATGCAGGAAAAAAGAAGCAGCAGAAGGAGGCATTGAAAACGAGGAGCTGCACAAGAAGAATAAGCCATCGGATAGGAGAAGCTCAACAAGAAATAATGTCGAGGCGTTTTGCCCCCGAGCTAAATGTGGCGAGTTCTCGCCGCAAAAATCACTTCGGGTCTTGCAGTGAAATAAGAAACACGAAATACAGTAAGACTTAGCAGGTAAAGTTAACTCAACAAAGAATATCCATTTTGGTCTCGCAAGGATTAAAACTGTCGTATAGGCATCATTAATTGCACTACAACTTTTTTACAGGATTTCGATTTCTTTTTGCTGCGGACACCTCGTTGGTATCATTTGGCAACCCGAAAGAATGTCCGCAGATGGGATATGTATTCGATCAAACGAGACTTGTCATTATTGGTATCTGCCGATTGAATTTCAACCAAAAGAAATGCAAAAAAGGCTCGCTGGTTCGAAATAATCAAGCAAATGACCTCGTCTACGGCACTCTACTCAATCACATCGCCAAATTCAATTTTCTCGCCATTTTTTTGCACATTTTCCTCATATTTGTGAGCGAATGTGGAACTTGTGTGAAACCGATAAACAAAAATTGAAAAGTTGTTCAAGCGCAACGAAAAAATAATCAAAAATTCGATTTTTTTTTTGTCCGCAGCATGAATTAGGCAATTATATTGTTTACTGAAAGGTCCGAATTTGTCCGCAGCATGAAAAGATGGAATTCGTTCTCATCGAATGCCGCCCGAACAGCGGTGATCAAGAAGCATGAAAGGGTTCAAATAAATATTTGAATGTGCGGACAACTCGCGGTTTTGCTGCAGCCCCGACGAACCGAAGAGCAGAAGCGAATCGAGCATTAGAAGAAGGCAGCCAACCAATCGGTCATAACAAATCCAAATAAGCATACATCAATCAAAAAATGAGAGCAGCCCCGATCGACACGAATGCGTTCCGTTCGTCGCCGCTCGCATTTTTTTCTTTCTCGTCGAAAACCAATAAGCACTAGTAGTAGAAGAAAAATGAAGAAGAGGAAACGATTACGAGAGACCTCGGCGTGTGGAAATTCTCGCCATCCTATTGTTTCCTAGTCTATTTTTTTTTTATTTATTTTCTTTTACACAAAACGATTAACCGGATAATTGCTGTCGGTCCCCCCACCACCCAATTTTGGCGAGCCACCGAAATTCTTTTCAACTTCGCTCTATTTTTTTCTTCTGCCAGCAATTTTTTTCGAATCTCCTCAATACAAAAGAAAATCGACGAACCTCGTTGGAAATTCCGTTGTTGGTGGCTCGGCAATGCTCCAAATAGCTCTCAATCTCCTGTTCGACGTTCAGAAGCGTCAGATCGGTCTGAACCGACGCCGCCGTGTTCGACGAACTGCAATAATGTCCGCAGATGGATTTGAATTGATTGCCACGATTTTAAGCGAATTTGTCGAAACATTGAAGTTTCAAACGTCAGAAACGAAGAAATTGAAAATGTCCGCAGATGGTTACACAGTCATGCCTCACATTCTACGAAAATGCAAACAAAGACTCTTCAGGAATTTTTTTCGGTTCAAAAAACCGAAAAATTCAGGAAATGCGAGATTTCTCTGATTTTCAGCAGTTTCAGTTAATTTTTTTTTGCAATAAATATGATGAAAACCACAAATTATTGTTCTCCATGTACCTTTAAACGTCTACAGTAATATTTGCTAGAGTAATATTTTGCTGCTCCCTGATAGCCATCGAAACTCTCCCCCAAACGCAATAACCCAACACTGGAATGTAAATTGATACTTTCGAAAGAATGCAATTGAAAGAGATGGTTCCTAGAATTCACTATACTAGGCTCTACAACTCAATTTTGATGGTACATAAAAATATTGAATGTCTGCGTCTCTCATTCCAACACACTCTCTCCTTCCCTCAAAATCCGATTTTCTGTACACAGTATTTCGGAAAATTGGATTTTTTCTGGAAATATCGAGAATCAAATTATTATTTTCACAAAAATTTGAATTTTATTCGAAAAATGGTACAAATCGAAATTTGAATTGCCGCGCTCCACTAAAAATATGATGGTCCGTAAATAACCGAAACTTTTCGTCATTTTTTGCGATAAAATTAAAAAAAAAATCAAAAATTTACCAAAAACAACTGATTACCTTGCAGTCGGCGCCGAATCGTCAAACTCGCTCGCCTCGTTTTCAATGGTCCCGGTTAGAGAGTCCGAATCTTCGTCAAAGTTGAGATCTGAACAATACGAAAAGCAAATAGAATATAACAAAAAGAATGTGCGGTTTTTTTGCGCTTCAGGATGCAATAATTATTGGGAGAGATTTTTCTCTTTTTTTTTAAGAAGCAAAAAAAAAAAGAAGATGGTGAAAACGAGCATTTTCATGTCAATTGTTTTGTTTGCTCAAGTGAGCTCTGACGGCAATTGAGCCCTTAAAACAAATAAATGAACTTTAAGAGAGAAATGAGCATCATTGAGAAATTAATAGGGACCATTGAAAGAAATACTCACGTGTTGAGGAAAGGAATTGGTCGAGAACAATTGATGAAACGTTGTCATCGAAATCGGCGAGCTCTTCGGTTTGAGCACTTCTGAAACTAGCAAAAACAAATGGCAAAAAATGATGGCGGACGAGCGCTTACGAAATTCCTATTTAACTAAATTCAATGGAAAATTTGAGTGGCATGAATATCAAAAAAGGTGCTTTTTTTGGATGACTAGGACAAGTCAAATGCCATATATGTGCATTTTTTCTCCCCGCAAGGCTTATCGACGATTTATGTCCTTTTACGGGCTTTTATATTTTTTTATTTCTTTCGATTTCCTTTTAAATTTAAATTTTTAAAAAAGATTTTTTGAACCAAAACCTGTTCGAAAATTATCATTCTGATAACGAAATCAAATTTTTATTCTTTTTCGATTTTTCAACTTTAAAAAGTGACTTTTATATAATAAATTTATAATAGCACAATGCTTGCAAGCTATTTATTAATTGCCTAACGTCGCATTTTTTGGTGATTTCATTAAAAAGGAAAAATTGGAAAAAAGAAGAAAAAGCGAAAGAAAAAAATGTAGAGTGAATTACGGTATGCAATCTGCATTTGTGCGTCGGGTGTTTTCACGGACCCGATGAAAATTCAAAATCATCGCTCGATTTTTTTTCCTTTTTTTTGGTAATACAACGAATCGCCCCATTGTATATCTTTTGCGGATATTTCCCTCAATTTTCCATTGCAATTTGTTTGTTTTATCATTTTTGAAAACATGTTTTTTAATATGTTTCGAATTATTCGTTTCATAATAACAAACAATTTGATTAAAAAAATTGTTATTGCAAAATGAAGGCCATAAACATCAATTATAGTTCTAAATTTAGAAAATTCCGCATAAAAAAAGAAAGTTCTCTGATTTGGAGCTGATCTAGAAGATTCTCGAGCCGAATGAACTTCAAACTAATCAATTTTTCAAAAAATCCCGGAACTTGCTCATTAGAAGCTATTTTAACGACGTGTGTGTTATATTGGGACCTTTTAATTATTTCATGGTCCCCACATTGTGAGAACAATGTGAGATTAAATCTATGCTAATTTTTCAAGGATTTTTGAAATAAACAATTCTGCAATTTGATCGAATTATACGTATGCGGGCATCCGCAGAAAAATAATATTTTAATCGACTAAGTGAAAAATCATCTGCGGACAATTAAGCAGGTTTTGAAATGTCCGCAGACGCGAAACAACACAAAGCAAGCAGTTACCTTCTCGACATCGCCGACATTCGACTCACCACGTCATCGCTGACCTCGTCGATGTTGCTCCTGCAAGAATTCACATTGAATTGATGGATTTTGTTCGCTTCAAAACAATTTCTTTTTGCCGGGCAACATTACAATTTCTATGAACAATGTTTTTTTTCGCATTTTCCAATTCGTCTCACAGACCACAAAAAATATATAAACTTTATTATGACGGCCAAATAAAGCATGGTTAGGACAAGCAGCGGCAGCAGCAGGTGGACAACACGAGAACAACAATTATTGGACGTTTGACATTTATGGAATTTGGGGGGACATTATGGACAAATGACAAATAAACAAACAAATAAATAATAATACATATAATTTTTTTTGTTAATATTTATATATTGACACCGGTAGGAACACACAAAATTTTTCGTTTCTTTATTATTATCTTTTTTTTCCATTAAATTTCATCGCTTTATTTAATTGACACTCGGGATTCGTTTCGTTTTGGCAAAGAATGCATGTAGATCAAATGTACAAGTAAAGAAAAATTCAATTTGGGATGGTGGTGGGTGGGTGGGTGGTGTATGTTGCCTGGCAAAAAGTTGAAATGAAATAATTAGGTTCTATTATATTACATTGCGACTTGTTGACGGCGTTGCTCGACGAATTTGCGATTGAGACGACGCTCGACGAGGCAGTCGGCCGCTGAAATTACATGCACTTTCCCTCTTCACAAATGAACATTTTGAGCAAAAATGAGCATTTGCACAATGCTCACAGAATCAGTCGATCTTACCCGATATTGGCGAGCACGCGCGTTTGACGCGCTCGAAGTGCGTCTCCTCATCGGATTCCATGTCGACGATCGGACATCGCTTCTGACTGCAACACAACGATGGCATCAAGGAGAGATCGGGGCACGAATCTGAACAATCGCTCGTTGGTTTTTTGATTCGAGGGGTGTCCGATGTGGCGGCGGTCTTACGCGTCCGTCGACGACGGAATCCGTTCGGCTTTTTCGCGACAAGAATCGGCGCGTCTCTCTCGATCTCGCAACAATCATCACCACCGCATTGACACCTCTGATTGATCGCCAACGCGTCCATTTTGTCTTCGAGATGACCCTGACTACCTCGTCCGCTGTCATTCGTTGTCGACGGCGATTTGCGCGAGCGAACCCCTGCAAATGTGTATGTCTAGAATGGTCCCTACCGGATTTTCGCTTCTACACATAATCCCATCGACATTCTAGCGAATTTAATCTAATCCCCCCTCTCTCCTCTTGAAAGTTCAATCCTCTGAATGTGACATGTTTCAATATCACACGCGCGTTTTCTATTTTAAGAGCCCAAACAGAAACAAGTTTGGATTACGGTAGGCCTACCATTGATCGGGTCGCACGATTGCGAGTATTCGCCATTGTTGTAGACTTTCTGTTTGTCCTTCCTACCGAAAATCCTGAAACACCAACATATCAATGGTGGGAAGTTTTTAGCGGTCCCGCGGGACCGCATTCCGTGCGACATCAAAAATCATCAGGACCACGAAAAGCACACGTTTCATGTGGTACTGGGGAGAAGTGAAAAAAAAAATAGAAGATGGTCTCCCATGGGTCGAATATTTCATCGCACGAAACCCCCTCCCAACAATTCATTTCGCGCCCCCCCCCCATATATGGCATTCTTCTCTTCGTGCTTCTCGTCTCGCCCATATGACCAGCACGTTTTTTTTGTTGTTGTTGAATAATGAGTGTTTTGGGAGGCAAACGAGAGAAAACAAATTGCTCGATTTTCATTTTTACCGGCGCGCCCAACTCACAAGTGGGGTTGGCCGCACGCAATAAATTCCAAATATGGACGGATTAACTAGGTAGAATGGATTAGACGAAAACGGGACATTCGAATAAATCACATGGCGGTTTTTTTGGACTACATGAACCAATTTCATCTGCGGACAATCCAAGGGGCTTTTCAATTCTAGCATCAGAGATACGACGGTTAAAATTCGTCTCCTCTATTCCAGCTCGTGAAATTCGATCGGCATTCAATTTTCGGCTCGTTTATAACATGTTCGAAATTCGATAGTTTTGTTATTTCCCCATTCACAATATCATATTGTATTGTTCGAACTCACTTGTGCTTGATTTGCGACGAGATTGTCGGTTTTCGTGTCGGCGTCACCGGCGGCGAGCAGCCAGCGCCGCCGCCACCACCATTGCTTCCACCCTTCGACGCGGTGTTGTTGTTGTTCGTCGGCGAGCACGTGTCTGCAAAAAAGAAAAAAGAGAAATGCGAAGAATAAAAACGAAATGCACATTTGCATTTTGTACAATCGAATTTATTGCGGCATATGGTTGCTTTTACTATGGGATGTACGGAAAAAAAAAATAAATGCGGGTGGCCAACGGCTAATTTATTCCGAATCCTCTGAATCACGCGATTTTTCACCTCTCGATGATGGATGCAATAGAAAATTATTTTTCAAGATTTCTATATATATCAATTCGCATCTCTCCCAATAGCGTACCTCGATTGGTCGACTCCGAATCGGTGCGTTGCCGATGCATATCCAAACCGCTGTCAGCCAACGCCCGATTCTGCTGACGGAGCGACTGAAGCAGACTCATGCGACGTCGTCTTGGAGCATAGCATGTGTAGGCGCTCGCATCATCACACATGTCGGCTGAAAGATAATTGTCGTCCGTCGGATGAGGAAGTGCGTCCTTTTTCGACAGAAATAATTATCTTTTTTTTCTTCTTCTTCATTTGCAGTTTCTTGCCAATAATAAACGTTTCCGGTTTTTTCTTTGCTTTTTTTAGTAGAATGATTTCAAAGTTCAAGAAGCTCGTGTCTAAATCCTTCAATTCCCTCAAAATTCGTTTTGATCATCCCACCGCCCCCCTACCCCTTGAAAAACGGAGAAGCAATTTTAATATGTGGCCTACTTGAGGGGAGCTCTGCGAGAGCTCCTCAAACGATCACAAACCGAAAGAACGTACCACTTGTGCCGCGACGAGCGAGACGCTCGCGAATTGGTACGTGCGGGACCATCGGCGAGCAGAAGGGCTCTGAAAACAAATTGTCAGCGAAATTTCAACGGTATAATAGGTTTTCCGGAACTCCCCCCCAATTTCCGTTTCGGCATCGCCTAGCCCCACCAATTTGAATTTGGTCGGTTAGGCTCGAGAGTCATCGAGTCGCAAAGTCATCGAGTCGAGGCTAATCTCGAAACCCCAATTATCGAGTTCAATGGGATCAGAAGTGCACGTCGAAATTCGAGTAGTGGCTCGAATTCGAGACGAGCGAAATCAAAAAAAAAACAACGAAATTCGAACTCGACCACCGCTCATACCGATTTCGCCGTTCGTGCTCACTATCGAGCCGCGCGGGAGCATGAAGCTCGCTCTCGGCGACGTGCCGAGAAGCGCCGTCGTCGGCGGCTGAAGCGACGAGCGCTTCTGCTTATGTCGATCGGTGTCGTCGACCAACAGCCGAAACATTATGTAATCGTTCATCATTGTCGTGTTGCCGGACAGCATTCTTGAATGAGATGAGCGTGAGAATGCAAATGATTTTGAAAAAACGAAATGAAACGAATTAAGAGAGGAATGTGATTGTCGTTGGTGGATTCGAGATGTTCGAAAGGGCGGCCTTCCTTTAAAGGCGCAGCTTTAATGGAAAAGAAAGTTTAATTGGTGGAATGAGGCTCAACAAGTGGGGCTCCAACAGGAAGCTCTTCATCTTCTTCTTCTTCTTCTTCTTTTTCTCGTTGGCGATGTTCTAGCACAAGTGGGCGGGGCACGCAAACGGGGCGTGGCTTCGAGGGCGCCTCCACCACCAACAACAACAACAACAACAACAAGAGCGGAAGGGGACTAACATGATCGAATTAGCCCGTGATGATTAATGCGCCTTTAAACATTGCGAGATTATTTGGTGAATTTTTGGAAACATGCAGCGGTTTTGATTCTATTCAATAGCCAACTCGAATGACGCGCGAAAAAAGCGCAATTATAAATGTCGCACCTATAATTTATTTGAGTAACCGGCGGCACACAATTGTCTGCTGAATTCGCCAATTATCCATTTACGCAATTGGACTTTGAGCATTTATGAAGAAGAGCAAAAAAAGAAAAGAACTGAACGGTGTGTGAAAATTGATGCGAATGATGTTGGTGCTCGAAGTACTCGTGATCGGTTGTGGTGCGAATCATTGTCAAATATTTACATTCGAATACACAAAGATATGATATAGCTAGCTCTCGATTTTCAAATAGGTGCTCAGGTTCTCATCCTTCCTTTTATAGGCACCAAAATTCTAAGAAGAAATTTGACTGATGTTTGAAGTGCATTCACAATTGTGTGCTCGCTCTTCTTATTATTATTCCATGTATTGAATAGCCTTAAATGGAATACATTGATCTGTTCAACAATGCTCAATGCTGCCTAATTGGGTTGTAAGTCGTCTTTCAAAAAAAAAATAATAATATTGTTAAGGTGCCGACAATTTTTGAGGATTTCTGCGCCAAAAAGGAAGTTTGGATTATTGATATTTTTTTTGGAAAGCCGCGCGAATCGTTGTTGAAACTAGACATATCGGCAAATATTGGATCCCAACGGATTTTTTTTTTCGTCAAAATTTGCACAGTCACAAAGTGAAGAAAGAACGCGGCACATTATGAAAGAAGCGCGCGCCGATAATGGCGATTCGAGAAGATTCTCGAAAAATGGGTCCCAACACGAAAATGCCAACGAACTCGGCCCAATCTGTGTGGCCGCAATTTAATAATGAATTCAAAATCACTGAATTTTTTTTCTGACGCGATTTCCATGAAATCTCTTAATTGTTTACTCAATTCTTAAACATTTGGCCTCAATTTTTTTCGGGTTTCTAAAAATCGACAAAACCCAAATCTCATGGGAATCGGTAACAACTTGAATTCGTTGTTTTGATGATAAATAAGAAAGCAAATAGGAGAATGGGGGGGTCTACTGTAATATGACGGGGGGCCACCATCGAGGTCCTTCTTGAAGGACCACCCAAAACACATTTCTAGAACGAATACATAATCTCATGACGATGTTGTTTATTTATTCAGCATTCAATACTACCGTAATCCTGCGTTACGTGCTCAATGCTCATTAATAAAAGGGCGGGACCATCGAAGAACGACACCTCAAAATTAGGCCAATAAGTCATCACCACATGTTTTCGTTTAAAAAGAAGAAGAAGGAAAAGCTCACCAGTTGCTCGTTTTTCTTTTTATATTATAAAGGGACTGGCGCGTTGGACACCTAATTATTTGCACAAATGTCAAGAAAAGAAAGCGAAGAAGCAATTGGTGTGTTCTATTTTGGGATTTCGATAGAGTACAGCAAAATTGCCGAGACTATCACCCCCCGGACGCGTTTTTTTTTCTTCCTCAAATTTCTAGAAGCAAAAAAAAATTGAATTCCTCGCGGGAATTCTAATTGTGTTTATATACATAAATTGGGTCGTCGGCTACGACCATCGGATGGCGATTGGTCAGCAAAAAAATGATGTTTTTTGGGGCCGCCGAACTCGAACATTGTCCGCAGATGGGAATTTAGGAATTCATCGATTATTGTGAACGTAACTCTCCAGTTACAGCCATTTCGTTTGGAATTATCCGTAACCCATAATTATTTATAGTCTGCTTCTGGAAAAAAATGAAGCTAATCGTGTCGGCCACTACAATTTTTTTGAAAATTATTTTTTATTACGAAATTTTTTTATTATTTTTTTGATATTCGCATTTTTTAAAGAATTAATATAAATTCAAATTTTTAATGAAACCATTTTTTACAATTAAAAAAAGCAATTTTGTATATTTGATTAAAGGTTCACAACGGGGCAGGGTCCCGTAGCGATGTTTGACTTATCTGGAAAACTGGGAAATTGCCACAGGCGAACAATTCGTACTATAGAAATCATTTGCGGACAATTTGACCAAAATATTTTGTTGAGGAAACGCCAAAACGGAGAAATCGAAAAAAAAACGTGCGGAAGGAAGAAAAAGAAGAAAACGAAGTAGAAGAAGAATGCATGAATAATTCATGCGTATGTAATCTTGAAAAAAAAAATCTGGAAAAATATGTTTTCGACTTGATTTTCCTTTTTTTTCGGGTAATCATTAGCAATACAGTAGTATCAACTCGAATAGCTCATCTTGAACGAGAGAGAGAGAGAGAGAGAGAAAAATAATGAATTGAATAGACCGAATTATTCGGCAAATAAAGGCGTCAACAATTAAAAATGAGCAGAATTCGGCAGAAAAAAAGAATGCAAAAGAAATTCGAAGGAAAAACACATAAAATATTATATAATTGGGTATTTCAATAAAATATTGCAGCATTTTCTTTTCTCGATTCGATTGTTTGAAGATGAAAACGCGTGCGACCGTTTTTATAGATTACGTGCTGCGGACAAAATAAAGGAGGATTCGTCGAAAATCGTTTTTCGCTTTTGTTACAACATTTTCTTCTTTTTTCCGAAGATTACGGTAGTAAGCAGATGTTGAAAAAAACATTTCAAGGCGAGCTCAAATTGTATAGGTTTTTGCTATTTGTTACATATCAAAAAGAATTAAAATATCAAGACCATTGAACCTACATTATGTGAATTTCCGTCTGCGGACAATTCACTGGGAACTGGAAAAGTGTCCGCAGCATGAAATAAATGAAACAAATAGTGGCGTTGTGGGAATTTGGTGGTCTTGTTGAGAAAAAACTAACAGGAAAGCAATAAAAGAAAGCAACTAACTCAACGAAAAAAAAAGAGTTATTTTTGGATTCAAATGTCAGCCAAAAGAGAAAAATATATTTGATATCCTTCTTCTTCTTTTTTTGGGGTCAATTTCCACTCTTTGATTTGTTTTTCTATATATTATGTTCATTTATTTTTTTTTTCGGTCTCTCACCAATATCATTGACATTACAAATCTCTGACTTCCTTATTTTGAGTAACAAAAAATGGGAAAAGTAAGTCGCAACAAGAAAACGTCGAATTGACAGGAGAAATATTGAAGTTGGTGCTTCATTATTCATAGTTCTTCGAGCGAAATGAAACATTTCAATTTCAATTTTCTTCGTCTCAAGACCAAGACGAGAAGGGGGGATTAATATGTTCGGAATTCATCGAAACAAGTATTTCCATCTGCGGACAATTGTGACTCGTCAAATGTCCGCAGATGCTATTAGCAAAGAGTTTGGGAAAATAATCAGAATTTGTTGCTTTTAAACGAATCATCGACTAGGAGAATTCGATTTGATTCGCAACATTTCGAAAAGTGCAGACGTCCAATCGAGCTACAGTAATCCGAAAATACTCTTTTTGAGGCGTCGCGGAAGTTTTGACATATTTTTGAAAGATGAAATTGGATGTGAAATCATGTTTGGAGTACTACTAGTTGAGGACCCAACTTGACCGAATAAGGCGATGTGAAACCCTTGATGAGGAGCTACCGTAGTCCTGGACTACCGTAGCCAGAAATTTAGGTTTCATAAACCGGAAATTAAAAGAAATGCATATTATTAATCATGGGGGGTCCGGAAATGAGGTTGAAAACAATGATTTACCGAATCTCTTTTTTCGACTCGTCTCGCCTTTCCACATCACCAACGATTGCGGTGTTCTCGGCCGCTGATGGTGTTGAAGCGACGACGACGACGGGATTCCGATGTGAAGCGGCATCGTCGGATGTGTCGACGACGACGAGGCGCTTGTCGATGAGCTCGCGCCGCCGGCAATTCGATTCATATGATAGAATGGCTTTGTGCCAATGCCGAAATGCTGATGGGGATGATGGAAATGATGGTGATGGTGGAGATGGCGTCCGCTGCCGCTGGCGCCGCCATCGGCTAGACGCGAGCCGAGAAGCAGCGAATCCGGCTTCTCGCTGTCACCCCACATCCTCTCCTCTCCTTCGTTCGGCGTGCGTTAGGCTCTCGATGCCTAATCGCCGCGCATCGCACTTTCTCAATAGTTTCTTGATTTCGCGGTCGCTGGAAAAATGTTCAAACGGATAGGGGACCATCGAACGCGAATTGAAACGAAAACACAAGAGATAACGAGGCTGGAAGAAATTGCAAATTTGCGCTACAAGAAGAAAACAATCTTTGTTAAGGAAATGCAAGATGATCTGCGGACAATTTGAGGGTGATTGTTCTACCCCGTGAAATGTCCACAGCAAGGACTGGATCTTTGAATAAAAGAATTTGAACAAAGGATTTTAATCAAATGAGAAGCGAAAGAAGGAGGAGAAGGATGGCAATCAGCAGGAGCCGCAAAAGAAGAAGAAGAAGATACGTCAGAAAATTTAATCGGCATTTCAACGAACAAAGAGCTCATTATGAAGAATGTTTGATGTATTACTGTAGTTGGACATGTAGGAGCAAAGAGCACATCGAATAATTGAATGTGAATTGGCGGGGATCACAAGACGGCGACTGTGTGGCGCAAAAAAAAAGTGAGTCGAGGGCAAATGGGAGCACACAAGAACGCATAATGAAATTGCAATTTTTGCGCAATGACAGCGGCACAAAAAAAAACGATGGAGACCAAGGAAGGATGGATGGAATTAATTGAGGCTCGCATGATAGATGGCGGTCTAATGAAGACGGCGAAATGAGCTTATCGGTTGGAGGAGCGAGCGGCTGACTGTAGGAAGCCTTTTAAGAAATTTGGAAATTGTCCGCAGATGGTTTTTGTTAAGAATTACTATTTTATTTTGGTGCTTTCATTTTTTGTAATTCCTTTAAAAAATGAAATATTTTTGCAAGAACTGTTTGCTTGAAATGAAATGAAACGGGAAATTCTATTTTTTTTGTCGAGCGCGACCGGAAATCTGGCGTCAAACACCGGATGGCAAGTGGAAACTCAAAACACCGAACACAATTCGATTACGGTACCACATTTTTTTGGGGGTGACGCAATTCGGTGAGATATGCAACAGAAGCAGCAGTTGAAGTGGAGAAGCTGAAGGAAATCGTGTCGGCTTCTTGAGTACACAATAAATATTAAATTATTCAATTGATTATTGGACTAATCGAATCATTTTTACAACGGGTTAGTGCAGAAAAAATTGTCCGCAGCAGAGAATCAATAAAATGTTTTCTCAACTTCAGATTTTGGAATAAAAAAAGCGCGCAAAATTTGAAAAAAAAAACTTCACTTTTTTTTCAAATCTAGTACATTTGAACAATTTCAGAAATTTTAAGGCTAGAAGGAAGTATGGAATTGATTTTGAAAAGAGAAAGGCAAGCCCCGCCCCCTTTATTTAAAGGATTATCCATTGAACAAAGAAAAATGGTTATTTGGGGTGGGAGTCGAAAAATGAAGGACCATCAATATTAATCAACATTCATATTTGACGAGATCGGCCACACTGGCGGGAAAAAAAACGAAACATAATGAATTTGAGGCGGAAAACATTTGAGTTGATGGCTATCATTCGAATCGAGCTTCAAAACGGCGTCGGTGATTCGCGTGACGATGAATAATTCTCGGAAAATCGGCAAGCGTGAGGTCGGGGTCCACACAGGTGTTTAGAATCGAATAAAATCAAAACGGAATTGGGAGCGAGCCGAGCCGAGCCGATGTTGAGAGCAAACTGATACCAATAAAACGATTATTGGCGGCCAGATGGGGTGTGGTGATGATCACATCACACCTGTTCGCCAGCAGAAAAAAAATATTGACAATAGGAATAACAAGGAGAGAGGGGGGGGGTCAAAATAATAAAAAAACGGCTTTTTGAGAAAGAAGGAAGGAAGGAGGGGAAGTAAGTCATGTTTAGAAAAAGCTGGAAAAAAATACAAATAACAAAAACAAGAGGCTCGCGCGGTGCTCGGCGAGCCTTCTCGTTTGATTGTCGATTAATGGCCTATCCGACACCAGACGACGACGACAAAAAAACCGAATGGGACGCGTTCGTTTGTCAATCAAATTTTCGAGCGTTTTCTGACCGTAATCGATGGCATCCGGAGCGAGAAAATAAACAAAGTTCCAGTGGAAAATGAAAATATTCACTGCTGGTTTTTTTTTTCTTTCTTCGACGTTTTCTTATTCGGAAGCAAAAATTTGTGCGGCTGCTGGATGAAATCAGGCATTAATAATTTAGGCGGATTTCGACGAACAAGTCGAAATTCGTGGTGTCACACTACTAGTTTTGTTCGATTTTCTCTCAGAATTGCGCGCCAGCGTGTACGGTAGGCTGGGATTTAAAGGCGCATGCGAAATTTTTGATTTGTGGGCACTCGGAGGAGGATGGTCGCCGCATCCAAAAAAAATTGAATCTTTTGTAGAACAATGAAATATGCATATATTTAGAGGCGCGTTTAACAAACATTGCTGCTGCGGACAATTGACGGGGTTTCGGGGAAAAAAAAATGACTTGTCGAAAAGTCGAAAATGAGTGTGTGATTCGTTGGACCCATTAGTTTCTTTTTTTTCTCGCGAAATCCATTATGAACCACTTGAAATTGGGCAAAAAACAAACAAGGAGCAAATAAAGATGACGAAAAGGAAATTTGATAGCGAATATACGTATACAAGGGCAATCGAAAAAAACTTGCAAATCTTACAAAGAATGGAAAAAATTGTAAAGAAGATACAGAAAGAATAGAATGATGATCTGCGAACGAATCAAGCGGATATCAAATAAATGGAAATGGTCCCACATTTTGCTTCATTATTTCCAACGTTTTTTTCTCGAAATTTTGGCCAATGAAATGTCAAAGAAATTTAGAATTCCAAGAATTGATAGATTTTAATTATTTTTTTTCGAATACTTCGAGCAAGAGATACAGAGTTCATTTGAATATTTTACATTGCCGCGCGATTGCCAAAAATTGGCTAAATTCCAGACAAACAAAGTCAAACTAAAAGGGTAGATTTAGGTGCCAAATTGTGAGAATAGATTAAAGGCGCACACCGTAAGACCTCTTCTCGAATTTTATTGGCATTTTGTCAATATTCCGTAGTCGCATAGCAAATTTCAAATGTCTGATATGAAATTTTTTAAAATACTATATCGTCGTCAAAAAAAAAAAACGAACGCCTTGCATAATTGTGGACCATCGCAATATTTTCGAGGCGGTAATTCAAAACAGCGAGAATTTAGGCACTCTGGATAACCTGCGAATCAAACTCAATGGAAATCGGCGCGAATGTGATAATAATAATTAGATTGAGTTATAAGTGAAGCAAATTTGTTTAAATGTTATTGAAATATGCAAAAAACTCAAAATGCGGGGAATTTCTCGGCGAAACGCATTGGTTTTTGGGAAATCACTTATTTTGCTTTGCTTTTTTCCGGAGAATTTTCTCAAAAAATTCAGAGTCTCAAAAAAAATTAAACTGCCATTTTTAATATCCTTTTTGTGTGATTTTAAAATAATTTTAGGAATGCAAATATCAAATTATTCTGTGAAATTCAAAATGATGAGATGAATCGAAATGAAGTGCGAGACAATTCAAGGATGCAACTCGTTTTCTCGAAAACTATATTATGATTATCAATTGTGATTTTTACAATTACAAAATATGATTGGAGAATTAATTGGTGCCAGAAATGGAGTTGTGGCCGTGGACGAGTTTGAGACCGCGGCCACGGCCATATAGCAAATTGGAAGAATTGAATTTTTAAAAAAAAAAGTTACAAGATGAACATTATTAAAATATTCACGAAATGAGATATTTTATTTTCAGACGCAATGAAAATGACGAAGAAGAAGAAGAAGAAGAAGAAGCTGTCTGATGGTTCAAGTGCAATTCGATGAGCTGAATGAAGGCAGAAAAAAAAGAATAAAGCAAAACCGGCATTCGAATTGAGTTGTTTTTGTTTTTTTTTTCGTTTTGTTTTCTTCGACTACTGCTGCAGCTCATATTCATATTCGAAATGCCGCATTGGAGAAGGTAATCTCGAACCAGAACGAAATAAAAAATGAGCTTCGTTTCGTTTTTTTTTCTTCTGTTGTTTTTCTTGTTGATGAGTCGAAATAAACGAAGCCGATAAATTATGCATATTCGAGCAATGGGCGAAATTCGAGATTTGCTTGTCGGAAATCGAAAAGTTGTCTGACGGCATGAGCATTTTGGAAATTTCAGAACGCGAGATCACAATGAATATCGAATTCGAGCTCGCTTTTAAATACGAGACAGTGTTGACCTTAATCAGACCGCGATGACTCACTTCTCGGCCTTCCACACTTGTCCGATATGCAAACAATAGCTCGCGATCAATCAGAGGCCAAGATTTAATAAAAAATTCCTTTAAATGCATGTTACGGTTTGCGAAATTGTCCGCAGATGATAAGAATAAAAGAAAAACAAAAAAAAACAAGAAGAGCACAATAGGCATCGCATTACGAGAGCTTAGAAGATTCACAACATAATTTGCCGTGGTCCGAGGGTTTTTTGCGATATGACAGAGATCAATTTTAAAGGCGCATCGCGAGGGATTCTCAAAAACGGATGTGTTCTCGGCAACACTTAAGTAGAAGGCACGTCATTCGATAATCACTGATTAAGCGCGACGCAAGCATAATGGAAGCATTGTGGGAAATCTGTGGAACGGAAGCATAATGCTTCCATATAGGAAGCATAATGTAATTCTTAGTGGCTGTGGAAGAATTATGGGACGAATATGGATGGAATGAAAACGGGATGAATATGCTTCCGGTGTTTGCGAGCCGTGGAACAAATATGGATGGAATATGGATAAAATAATCATATGTCAATAAACATTATACAATTGGCGTCTGGACGGCAGACCAAGACAATTTCTAGAAAAATCAATACAAAAAACTTATGCTATCATATAAACAATGAAAATTTGAAAATTACATGATACACAACGGACGAAATTTAGCTTCTACCATTTAATGACTTATGTTACTCAGATTTATGTT